AGAAAGAAAGAAAGAAAGAAAGAAAGGAGAGAGAGAAAGAAAGGAGAGAGAGAAAGAAAGGAGAGAGAGAAAGAAAGAAAGGAGAGAAAAAAAAGGAGAGAGAGAAAGAAAGAAGAAAGAAAGAGAGATTACCTGACTTCAAAACTTCACAAAGCCCCTAAAAGGATATAGACAGTTCTTAAATACTGATACGAAAACATATATTCAGCTTTTCATATCTGAGACTGTAAACGGCCACAAGACAATCCCACCTATTTTTGAAGGGATAAACATGCACTTCCTCCTTACATTTTCATTCTTCATGGAGGACTAGAGAAATCACTTATGGGCTTTCCTATATATTTTTATGTTGACATTTGTTTACATAAAACACCAGAATGAATGATTAATCCAAACTGATCTCATACCTTCGCATTCTCATGACATTAGAAAGGGCTTCAGGGCCACTTTAATTACTATTGTTCCATCGGAAAACGATGCAGTTCTTTACTGCACAAGAATACCCTGACGAACAGCAATGAGTGACCAATTACAGGGCAATCACTTTCCGGCATGGAATGCTTCAGGGCTAAATGTCAACCAGGACATAGAAATAGCGCTGCGTGTTTTCAAAAGTAAACAGGCTCTTGTGGGACCTTTTACAGTTCCCTAGACAGCAGGCTAGGTTAACAGCGCATCCAATAAACCTCTAATAATGCAACACTTCCTCAGAAGTTCACCATAAAGCATGAGTACATCTAGGTTTGAAACTAAGAGGGAGTGTGAATGCAGATGACGGTAACTGCCACCAACCAAATCCAAAAATAAAATTTAGCTAAGGTTCAATCTACCCAAAGCTATAGGAACAATATTGTGGGGTGGCACACTGCTGCCTCACAGCGCCAGGGAGCCGGGTTCAATTGCACCCTCACACGTCTGTGTGGAGTTTGCTCACATTCTCCCCATGTCTGCGTGGGTTTCCTCCCACAGTCCAAAGACATGCAGGTTAGGTGGATTGGCCGTGCTAAATTGTCCAGCGTGTCTAGGGATGTGTTGGCTAGATGGGTTAGCCATGGGAAATGCACAATTACAGGGATAGGATAAGAGGCTGGGGTTAGGCGATTTGTTCTTCGGAGGGTCGGAGCAGACTTGATGGGCTGAATGGCCTGCTTCGTGTGTGTGTGTGTGTGTGTGTATCAGGGAGGCGCGGGGTGAGTAAATGATAGGTAGAGATAGAGCCTAGGGAAAGAGAAAAACCAGTTGGGCAGACAAAAGAATGGGTAAGTTAGCCTGGGAGAATGAATAGCTGCTAATGGGGGCCATTAATGGGTTGTTTGTGGTAGCAGCACAGGGCTGGTGTTTGGGGTTGGGGTAAGGACATGGGAGAAGGTGTTCAAGCCCTAAATTTGGTGAACTCGATACTGAATCCTGAAGGCTGCACAGTTCCCAAGCAGAAAACGAGGTGTTGTTCCTCCAGCTTGCACTGAGCTTCACTGGAACACTGCAACAAGCCTGAGACGGAAATGATGGCCAGGGAACGTGGTGGTGTGTTGAAGTAGCAGACAACTGGAAGCTCAGGGTCTTTTTTGCGGACAGAACATAGGTGTTCTGCAAAGCGATTGCCCAGTCAGCGCTTCATCTCCCCAGTGTACAGACCACCTTTTGAGCAGCAAATACAGTAGACTAGATTAAATGAACTGCAGGTAAATCACTGCTTCACCTGGAAGGTTTATCTGGGGCCTTGGATAGTACAAAGGGAGGAAGCAAACAGGCAGATGTTACACATTCTTGCATTGCATGGGAAGATGCCATGGGGATGTGAGGAGATGTTGAGAGCAGAGGAAGAGTGGACAAAGGTGTCCTGGAGGTAACATTCCCTGTGGAAGGCTGACAAAGGAGGGTAGGGGAATATGTGTCTGGTAGTGCATCCCGCTGGAGGTGGTGGAAATGGCAGCTAAAGATCCTTTAAATGTGGATGCTGGTGGGATGGTGGGGGAGGACAAGGTGGACACTATCACTGTTGTAGATGGGAAGAGAGGGGTTTAGGGCTGAAGTGCAATAGATGGGTCAGAAATGGCTGAAGGCTCTGTCAACAACTGTGGTAGGAAATCCTCAGTTTAGGAAGAAGACGGACATTTTGGAGGCCCCATTGCTGAAGTTGGTAAAATTGGAACAAATCAATGGAGATGGAGGAACTGGGAGAGTGGAATAGAGTGTTTACAGGAAGCAGGGTGTGAGAATGTATAGTCAAAGTAACTGTGCGAGTTGGAGGGTATATAGAGATATTGGTGGCCAACCTATCCCCGTTTGTAGGATACAATTCATCTGGACTAACAATTTATCTAATTTTAAAGAGGTCAGTACCTCTACTACCTCCCATCTCATTACGGTAATTTTATCTAATATTTCACAACCCTCCACTAATGAGAAAGTCTGCATCACCTCTTTCCTTTGTAAGGACAGAACAAAATACTCATAAAAAAGAACCCTGCCTACATCTTCTGTATCCACACACAAGTAGCCATGTACATCTCTGTTCACCCAACCCTTTCCATAGAATAGTACGAGCAATGGATGACTAAGAAAACATCTTTGGATTACCATAATTTTTCCTAGACAGTAATTTTTCATATCTTCTCCTTGTTTCCCTAATTTTCTTTCTCACTTCATTCCTGTACCTTCCATGCTGTAAGCTTCCTAAAGTGAGATTATTGCAAGTTCTCTTTTTCCTACTTTAACATGTCCAATATGTTTCTAGATAACTAGGGAGCTCAGTACTTTTTCTTTGTGGGGACATATCCATACCATATGTGTACAATCTCACTTTTGAATACTCCTACTTATTTGCTAATGACCTTCCTACTATCTATCAGGTTTGTACAGTTTGCATTTCCCCTATTTAGAGCTTTTACACTTGTTCCACCATTCAGTCTTCCCCTAATTATGTTAAATTCTCTCTGTATTATGGCCACTATCTCCAAAATGGTCACCACTGTAATGCCAACAACCTGCACAGCTTTAAGGCTAAATCAGATAGGATTTAGATATGGTGCACCTATAAAAATTGGGTAAGAGTCCTTGTGGACATACCGAATTTCCTCAGCCTCCTGAGGAAGCACAGACATTGTTATGCTTTCTTGACCAGCACATCGACGTGGATGGACCAGGACAGTCTGTTGGTGATCATCACTCCCAACCGGGAACTTGACACTCCTGACCATCTCCACTTCAGCACCATTGATGTAGACAGGGATGTGCCCTCCACCCGGCTTCCTGAAGTCAATGCCCAGCTCCTTCGTTTTGCTGATTTTGATGGAAAGATTGAGTGCTAAGTGGCGTGGTGTAAAGGCAACAATCTCTTTCCTGTGATAGTAGGCACTGCAGATGCTGGAGAATCCGACACAACAAGGTGCAGGGCTGGATGAACACAGCAGGCCAAGCAGCATCAGCTCCTATGATGTTGCTTGGCCTGCTGTGTTCATCCAATCTCTTTCCTGTATTCTGTCTCATCATTGTTGGAGAGTCGACCTACGACAGTGATGTTGTCAGCAAACTTGTAGATGGAGTTGGGCCGGAATTTGGCCACGCTATCATGAATATGTAAGGATTTTAGTAAGGGGCTGATTATGCAGCCTTGCAGGGTACTGGTGTTGAAGATTATGGTGGAGGAGAACAAGAATAGGCAACAACACCTCCTCTGCCTTAATTCCATATGATCCTCTCATTACACAATTCCCTACCACTACTGCTCTTATATTCGCCGTCCCCCTATATTTCCCTCCCCCACGCAGATAAGTCACCCATGCAGCTGACTTGACTGAACTCTCTTGAGGAACCATCACCCTCACCAGTATCTAAAATGGAATACTGATTAGCAAGCATGATACTCCTCCAATACCTACCTGGTTTTCTTAAATGGCCTGGCCATCATCCATTACATCTCTACTTCCGTATGCTTCTCAAACGCAGTGTGACCACCTCCTTAACTGTGCTTCCATTTATTCCACTGCACAACATGACTCAAAGCTCTTCTCAAATTCCAAAATCTGGAGCTCAAGCTTGTAACAACTTATCCACCCCTCAAACTCCCTTCTAATCTTTACAGTCTGGACAAGCAAAGTAACATTCAGTACACACAAGGCAGCATTGGGCGAAATCTCTATTTATACTTCCTGGAAACAACTCAAGCTTCAAAAACAACCTGATTAAGCCAGCCACCAACTAACTAGTTACAGTTTCTCTCAGAGCTTCGAAACCCCTTATACATGCTTAAAGTTAATAACTGCTAAATTAAAGGAAAATGAAACTTCAGATAACAATGACCCCTTAAC